TTATGGAAAACAATATTTTCCCCAAAGTTTTTGGAAAATTCATGGAAATGTAACTAAAGTTGCATCAAATATAATTTATATTTTATCTAATCGCCAAAATAGTAATATTATAACAATAATAAATACTGTATCGTACAGTAATGAAACGGGAAATGGCATTTAACTGACGAGGTGTTTTACTGGTGAGAGATTTGAGTTGCTTTAGCGTGAAGAAGCTATAAGCCTGCTATTCGATTTGTTAGATCGGCACAACATGTTTCAGACCTTATTTTCCTGTTCCAGGTTAAAATAAACCATTTTCAGTGGTACCGCTGAGAGAGAGTCATTGTTTTGGTCATGGAAGATTACGTAAAGGTCATGGAGAAGTCATTGGTGAAAAAGTGTATGAACCCTGACAAGGACCAATAAGCAGAACTGGGGTTTAAGTTTTTGTTATTTGGCTCGTCACTGTGACCTTTACTGCGTTATCTTCCGAGGCAGGGGAAGCTCTTCTCTTGGACTTCATGAGTACTCTCTCTGCGCCTCCACTGACCTTCTCCCGCTCCTCGCTGCTCTCTCAGAGTTTCATTGACCCACCAGCGGCTGTCAGCTCGCATTTTTCAGTCTTTGTTGACACAGATGAACAATCGCAGCAGATTACTCAGCGGCTGCCTTCTCCACTTCCTAATCCATTTCCATGATAGCATCTATTTGCCCGGCAAGAGGGATTTTAGACATTTCTGTGTATTATTAGCCCGGGGTTTTTTCTAATGTGAAAACACGGCATCAGAGGCCATCGCTGCAGGAATGTGATGAAGGGAAATGTTACATAAAATATTTACAAGCAAGAATGTAAACCTCTCTCAGTGACTAATTGCGGCGGGATGAAAGCACTTTGACACTTAAACTTGCTTTCTGCCTCCCTCCACAGGTGTTTTCGGTGCAGATGTGCGACGTGGTGAACGAGATCGAGCTGGAGAAGGAGCGCTGTGAGGACAGCAGCTTCGGGAACGTCACTTCAGGTCATTTTCAAAAACGTATTCTCCTCTGTTTTTAGAGCATGCAGGAGGCTATTTAGAGGGAAATGGGAAAGGGCATAAGTGAATAAGTAGTGAGGTAGAGTCATAACGGACGGATAAGGCTCTATTATAGCAGGCAGGCCACAGTTTCTGCAGAGACATATTGCTTTTATTTATTATACGAATGCAGGCTCGAGCAGTCGCCTGCTGTGGAGATTGACTTTCTGATTTACCGCTCAACAGTACACTCAAATGTGTTTTTGAAAACAATTCAGGTAAGGAGAACAAGGCGGGTTAATAGCTGTATTTAGTATATAATATACAGTTTGCAACCACAGACCTTTATGATGTAATTTAATACAATCCAACTGTGTATCAGTAATATGTATCAGTATCAGTGTATCAGTGTAAAACAGTATCATTGCTGCTACTTCTGATTTTATCAATGCTTTTATTCATTTGTAACTATTTCTATTTCTTTACTGCAGTGAGACACCTACCATATTTCGTTATACCGTAGTATGATGACCTTAAAGATATTCTGATAAGTCATGTCAGGCTTTATTTGGTATATAGTATTACGTTTTTTTTTAAAAAACTTTTTTAAAACTATTTTTCTTTTGGTATTACTTTTAATAATATTGTTGTAATATTGTCTGCTTATCTGTATTAGTGTGTTGCATTGTTGGAGAAGCCTGTGACCTAAGATTTTCAACGACATAATTACTCTGTAGCTATGTTAGTTTGACAATAAAGAACTTGAACCTTGAACCTTGAACCTTGAACCTTGAACCTTGAGGTTGTAGGGGAATTGAAAAGGTCCTATTATTACTGTGGACATTTTTTTTAAGTTAACAAGCATTGTGGGAACCCTAATTAAAAAAATAGAATACCCTTAATCACAATAAGACTAACAACTAACATTGAGCGCCGACCATCATTTTTTACATTAGGGTCGATCTGAGTGCATATAAATCAACATTTTGCATGATCTGTGATAGGCGTAAGCTGTAATATTTCCATATATAATATAAGCTGTTAGAAGAAAGTAGTGCACTTGCCAAGGACACAACTTTTTTAATTTTATTCCCAGTCTGCACCTTGAATGGAGGTCTAATAATTAAAAAAAACGAAGTGTGCAGGGCCGTTAAAACCACGAGGGGAGGAGGTTTCATATGATATAAGGTTAAAGCAAAAATATAACCTTGAAGGAAGTCATAATGGTATTTCTAGACACTATTGTCACTCAAGGTGATGGAAATAGGAAGGATAACATGTCATGATTGAAGGGAGAGTTACACACTGGGAATAGGTGTGTATATATAATGTATACACACTCCGACCTTCCCTCTGAACGAGCATGCTTCAGTAATATCTCCATTTGGTCTCGTTTTAATAATACACGTGGATTGCGTGAGTGGAAGCAGCTCCTTCTTATCTCTGCAATCATTTCTCTGCTCCCTGCTATCTGCTTCCTCCACAGGAAGGTACAGGTCACATCCCTAATAAATGAATTAGCAGTGTGCATTTGTGAGAAACCATACATTAAGTTATGCAACGTATTCAATATAGAGACTGCCCAGCAATTCCTTGAAACAGAACAGGTCGTAAATGAATATTTCCTGACAGGTTGTGTACTCTGGTGTCACTGCACTGACTTCGAGATGTCTACACTCTGACAGAAATTGTTTTTTACCTCCGAAATCCATCCGTCTAAGAAATAGGTCATCGCTAGTGTTCTTGTTTTTTCGGATTCTGCACAGTGCTGTCTATAAAAACAATTTCTGCAGAAGGTGCACGTTTGCAGTAAACTCGATTTGAATTCAGAACATTTAGTTTATTTTGAATCTGATATGTTAAGTTGTTTTCCACAGATGTGAGTGACTATATGTCTGTAAATTGGATTTAAAGCCGAGGGATTCAAACCTGTGTTTCCTCCTGTTCGTATGTTGTGGAACATTTAAAGAATACATTTTTATTTAACTACATTTTGTACAACATTCATAACACAAATCAACATGTCTGCAATAAATGCTCTTCCTCTTAACGCTGAACAAGAGCTCTGTAGTGTGTGTCATGCGTCATGAATGCACTGTGTGTGTGTGTGTGTGTGTGTGTGTGTGTGTGTGTGTGTGTGTGTGTGTGTGTGTGTGTGTGTGTGTGTGTGTGTGTGTGTGTGTGTGTGTGTGTGTCAGACAGCATGAGTGATGCCATGTTAACGATGTGTCTCCTGCTGCAGGGTGCCAGGGCATGTGGGACATCATCGCCTGCTGGCCCTCAGCCAGCGTCGGGGAGGTGGTTACAATAACCTGCCCGACCTACTTCAGCTACTTCAGCGACGAGCACAAAGGTAGACAAATCCTCCGTTATTTAATGTCAACACAACATGCTTTAAGAATATTTTCTCAGTATTATGTTCGTTATTAATTGAAAGTGGATAAAAGTTCACTATTAAAACGATTTTAGAAAATGTAATTAAAGCCGACATATTCTGCTCATTTTCAGGTTCATATTAAGTGTCTCTACTGGGACGTGTTTCCATGCTTTACTGTTCATAAAGGTGGGATTTTAGCCTCTGCAGACTAGGGAACCCCCAAAAGCATAATAGGGTCTCTTTAATTAAAATATCTGTAATTTAATAATGCTGTATTTTGAAGCAAACAAGCCTATAGGCGCTAACACTGTACCGTGTGCTGTCATTTTGCTAGGAGGACAAACGTACAATTTATTATAATTTTGTGATGGTTTCAGCCCCTTGGTCAATACTGGAGATTGAATGTGTCGCCTGCATGCAAATGAACCGTTTTCAAGTCATCAAACTGCCATCACCTCCTGTGGACATCAGGAAAACAATATGAGAAACGCTGCAGAAAGCCCGGGGCGGACAATATCCAATCATGAGCCTCTTTAGTATTTACCGGAATAATCTGTAAACACTTCAGAACTTGTGTGCAATATTTAAAAGAGTGAGAATAATGGACCACCCTTAAACTCTTATTTAGCAGTGCTTTAAAGGTCCCATGTCATATCATGGCCATTTCTACTGATCATAATTCCATTGTTGAGGTCTACTAGAATAGATTTATACTGTGCAATTTTCCAAACTCACATTGGTTTCTCATACAGGCTCGTTGCTGCGATCTGCTGCGAGGAACGGACAGGTTCCGGGTCTGCGATACAGCGAGAACAAGCGAAAACTCATCCTGAGCACACACAAACACTCACAGCCGAAGTAAAAACAATAAGTGTGGCTTGATATTGAGTAAGAAAAAGGTTTATAAACGCTGTGAGAATGGGTCCGCGGAGAGCATTTCTCCACCATCCCAACTCGTCTATTACCAGCGTTCAGGGAGCTCTATGT